ATAAATGGTCGATAACAAAATCGATAACCAAATCGACAAATAATCGATAAAACTTCACTTCACTTCAAAAATATTTAAGGAGATTTTTTTTGCATAATCAATTCATAGGACTTACATCCAATTAATGCAAATATGTTTTTCTTCATGGTTATATACATTAACTAAAAACTACTGTTATATGTACCTGTTTTTTTATTAATTTCTTTGAGTCTGTACGATCCACAAGTAGTTATATTTTCCTGTCTGAGTTTTGAGTTAGCTCACTTTGGGTCTAGGTGTGCGATATGTTAATCTAGTCAAATAAATGCGCTCTGGTTAATGGAAAAATAATTCGTTTCACCAGCTTGTAAGTGGTTTATTAAGCATATTGCAGTGATGGCTGATTCCTTTACAGTTCTCGTCCATTGAGCATAACTCACAAGCCAGCACTTTGCGAGTACCACTCAGTGCTATCAAAGGTTATTAATCAAAATTAATAACTCTTCCGCCTACGTGGTAAGCAAGCGAGCAAGCAAGCAAGCAGTTTAACCAACACTCAACTTTCATTAAGAGCTATTGAGGGGAAGCCACACTGCAGCTTCAGCTTTGCGTAGTAAATTTGCGGCAAAAACACCTACCAATACTCAGGTGGAGGCAGTTAATATCCAGATATGGATTTAATGAAGCCATTGGAGCGAAGGTGACCATAGAGACACTTTCAGATTTTTATTAAAATAATGGTAGGTGGTAAAATGAGAGCTTGCGTTTAAGCTACTGATCATCTGCACCACTTGAATGTAGAGGACTATGTGTGGCCATTTGCTTTAAGGCACAAAATTCATTAATTAATGCAAAATGTATGTATGTGCATATATAAGTTGGAGTGTTCATTTACATATGTGTGCACGTATGACAAGTGAGTATGCAACATATGTTGCTGATAGGCAAATATGAAGCGGCGACAAGTCATCGATGGACTTACATAGGTCTGTATTAAGTGTGTATAAGTATATACATACATACAATACTTTCCTACTGGGCTGCATGTGTGCATTTGTATTAATTAATAGACTTCGATACGTAGCTGTGTGAATATCAAAATGAAAATGTATGCCTTGGCAACATACTTTGCAATTTTTCACACTTTTACTGACATTTTGATGAAAAATTATTTTCCCTCCAGCGGCAGAGCAGTCTCAGACGGCTCACCTGGCACATACGGCACTTATTCAAAGAAAAATATTTGGTGTATAAAGTTGGCAATAATTAATTGTATGGAAATACATACATACATACATAGGAAAAATATTCTTTATTGTTGCTGGTCAGCTATTAATAGCATTTTATATTTGTTACACCATAAGTTGAAAACGCCATTGCCATAAGTCAGGCTAATTAATTTTTGCACTTTCTCAAGTGAGCCAGCGACGCAATAACAGCAACAAAAAGGTGGCAGTATAAGTGATAAGGGAAACAATATTTTTTTTACTTACCCAAGTAGGAAAAATGAGAAATGTTCAAAAAGCTCTAAAGGCAGTTTCACATGAATGTAAATTTGCCCAAAATTTGGTGGAAAACGTATCCCAATCGTGTGAATGCACAAATATTTTTCTTTGCCCCCATCACGAAAAACAATTTGTTCAAATTTTGCAATAGAAGTTCGCTGTATTGCGCCAATCGTATAACTACAAAAAATTTGTCGTCCCAATTTTTCTATTTTGTACCAATAGCCCAATAAAAAAATGTACAAATGTCCGGGTCCGACGAAGCATGGTCGCCGAAATAAATCTCGAACCTGTCGTCAGATTGGACAGTGACCTCATGGTTGACCTAAGCTTACTCACACCAGAAGCGAAGTTACAAGTCTTCAGATGTTCTTCCCACTTTTTGCGCTTATGTACGTTCACAAGCTGCCAAATCTCCGTGTAGAGATCCCTGATATGGGAAATTCTGGGATCGGCCTGACGAAGGTTGTCATACTCATCGGCTAGAACAGCCGCTGCGCGGTGAGATGCGTGATGAACGCTAAGCCAACACCATTATTTCGCTTGCGATCTCGACGATGCACGTTGTATCCGACGCAATTCAAAAATATTGAATTGCTGTACAACTTCGTCGCTTGGACCGTAGCTATCAATATACCATGCCTTCCCATAAAAACGGTTAACTCCTCGATCTTGCTCTGAAGTCCGTTACAGTTGAATTGAAGGAGCTTCATGTGGTTCGGGAGACGTGTTGTGATGTGGGGTGTGAGGGATGTGTGCTGCCGTGTCGCCATTGGCTGTGTGCGCTGCTGTGGAGGGTGCCGCCCTGTGGTGGTAGTGGGTAGCGTCGCAATTGGGGTATGCGACCGTGCATCGGAACACGGGCCCTCGAAGTTCATCGTCCAATCGCGCGTGGTGCGCAGACCTGAACACGCCCTAAAGTGGCACCAGCAAAGGCAGGTGTTGCACTTGACTGATATCACGTTACGGAATATCCTGGTCTGACACACCGTGCGGCGTGTGGGTGGTGCTGCGGTTGTGGCTGTTGTGTGGTCTGTTGTGGTTGTGGTGCTGTGGTGTTTGTGTTGAGTTGCTCAGGTGGACTGGGGCTAGCCCTGAAGACTGCTCTGTTTGAGCAGCAGGGGGACACAAATGATATGGTCCACTTCCGATGAGTCCGTAGGCCTGAGCAGACTCTGGGGTGATTCCACCCGTCGCAAGCATTGCACTCGACTGAGGTGGCGTTGTGGTGTAGTCGTCTCTGGCATACACAGTAGGTGTAAGTTTCTGGCCCTGGGTTTGACTCGATGCCAGCCCTGATCAGAAAGATACGTAGCAAATGTAGCCTATGCACGAACAACTTCTGAGATACTTCGCCCACCTAAAAGGGGTTAGATCGCCGAAACAGCAATTCATTAGCCGACATGAGCTTTTGCATAGCTATTAAAAATTTAAAATTCTGTTTGTGATTTTGAAAGGTTAAGTGAATGTTTATGATTCCCATTGCAAACGTCTATAGGAGATGTGCCAGGGAGAGCTTTTATCCTACACGTGACTATAGTAAGTTTAAAGAAAGCTTTAAAAGCTCCGTACGTTTCCAAACTGCTGCTCATGACCGTTTTGTAGGCATATTTATAAATAGTTGATAGCTAAACGGTGCATGCGCTTAGATCTTCTGAAATATAAATAATACATATGTGTATGGAGGAAAAGCTTTCTATGCCCGTCCTTGCTATAAATCCGTCACAATCGAAAGTTAAGCAATCAGAAATGCTTTTTATAGGTTTTAAATCAGCGATACTCTAATCAGCGACCGCGGACAGAACTATTTAAAGTTCTCACAACGAAAGCTCTCTCTGATCAACATTGTTCTCCGTAGATGCGCTCAGCATAAAGGCTCGTGAATTGTCAAATGGTGTTGAGTAAAACACTGCGTGTAACCAGAACTGTATTAAGCGCTCTCTATATTTTAAAAACAAAGCTCTATTTGATCATCACTGTTATGCATAAATCAGTGATGATAAGAGAGAGATTTTACCCTATGTGCTTTAACCGTAGATCGAGCTTAAAAAATAATTCATAAATGAAGCCCTGTATCATTTTTGATACATACTATAGTTCATTTACTGATTTATTACAAAATCTTACTTTAGAGTTTTAATATGTTTATTTTTATTGATACATTATATGCAAGTATTTTTTAAGAGTTTACATGTTTAGGTGTTATTTATGCAATCTATGCAAACATTTTTGGCATGTTTGTCATTACAGCACGGCTTTTTACATGAAAAACAGAATGACGAAGTCCACTTATTTTTGTTTTCTCCAGAATGAAAGCATTTTTGACACTTTGCGCGGTTTTTTTTCGGAGACTTATCAGTTTTTTGTTTTTTTTTATGGGCCAGCATCATTATCATTAATAACGGGGATATTCTTACTTGAGAGTTTCGAAAGCAGCGCCAGAGATAGTTCATTTCTTGGGCCTTGTTTACGTTTTTCCATATAAGACTTTGCCAACGAAATTGCCAACTCATGCAGGAAACATTTACGTTTTGTGTGCTTTTGAGTTTGCTTCTAATTGGGGTCGATTTCGTTGTACAAAATAAAAGAATTCAAAGCGGAAATATCAATAATGTTGGAAAATACCGCCATAGTCCAACGATTATTTTTACGTTTACAACTGTAGCAACTTAGCATTTTGTCAACCGTGTCCACGCCTCCCTTCGTTGAGTTATAAAAAGAGATTATTTCGGGCAACTTTTTAGAGTCATCCCCAATATTAGGTGCGTGATGCATTGTACTCATGACAAGTGTACACTTGTTTTTATGACTGATGTACGAAACGAGACTGGTATCAGGAGTAAAGGCAAAAGTTGATTCATATCGTGGAATTTTTTTGCAATTCAGTAGCTTTGGGGGAATAGATCTTTTATTTTTGCGCATAGTTCCAACCATTGTCACATTCTTTTGTAATAGTTTTTGGCCAAGGCTGTGAGATGAAAAAAAAATTGTCCATGGTGACGTTATGCCCTTTTAGTCCATCAACTAAATCAAGAACAACCCGTTCTCCTTGATTCCTCTCAGGATTTCCTGTCACACCTTTTCCCAAGTAGGGCTGTATTTTCCATACATAGCATGTGCGTGAATCAACAAGTAGCCAAAATTTTAAACCATATCTCTCTGGCTTCGATGGAATGTACTGGCGAAATTTACAACGACCATGAAATCCCAATAATTGCTCATCCACAGTAACAGAATCAGTAGGATTGTAGAATGTGGGAAGCCGTTCAGACCATTTTCCCCAAAGATTTCTAATTGGTGCGAATTTGTCATCATTTCTTTGGCCTCGTCGGGTGAGCACATCATCAAAACGAATGACTTTGTGGATATATAAAAATGTTTTCTCAGACATAATTGACCGAAATATTGGCCGTCCACAATATTCATCAAACAAATCATGCAAAGTTTCATTTTTGGATCTGATAAACATATAGTAGTTATAAGTTTATATTTTTTTAAACTTTTCTGTTGTTAAACTTACTTATTTACACCGGCCAGCAATAATACGGCCAAGTAGGCATGAAATAAATCCTCGTAAATTTCGATATGGTTAGACCCATGTATATACTTTCCGTAGTAGTTTGAGTTATCAATAACAATTTTTGATAGTGACGGCGGAAAAAGTAGTAGGAATGAATCCCGAATATTGTTCACCCGGCTGGATGCAAATCTTGTTACACCTAAAGCCCAGTAATCTTAATTCTATGACACTTCAATAAACAATTACTACTAACCTGGGCGTAAATTTATGATATTTTCTCTCCCCAATCGACCAGTGGCGTAAGGCTCGCTACGCCAAGTAGTACCATCTTTTGCTATATACATTGGATCAGCTTCTGAAGTACTGCCAATAATGTCATCCGGTTCAGGTAAGCAGCTTTCAGACGAACTGCTTTCAATTTCAGTTTCAGGATCGGAAACATCTTCATCCTCTTCACTCTCATCCAGTACTTCATTCACTAGTTCCTCAAAGGTCAAAAACCGTGGACGCGACATTGTTTTGAATACACACAATTATGTGACAAAATAAATGAATCTTCAAAAAAGCACCCCAAGAAATAAAAACACACCACAAATACCAAAAATCGCGTAGCGAATGACGTGCACCGCAGCAAAAAAACGTTTGAATTGCCATATGTATCAAAAATGATACATAGCTCGAATTATGAAGTTTTTGAATTTCTCATGGCCTACTTGCAAAATTTTTTGAAAATATGTTTAAAAATAACAGCAATAACAAAATAAACATAGTCGCGAAGAATGCAGCACTCAATTTTTTTTTTAAAGAAGTTATGATAAGATATAAAACAAAATGTATCATTTTTGATACAAAGCTCGATTAACGGTTAAAGCGTTGATGGGCACCGCCTTGCCCGCGGACAAAGCTCTTTCAAGCTTTCTATACATTTTGTATAGGCGCGTGCAGAGTAAAAGCTCTCTCTGCCCATCGCTGCTTTAAAGAGTTATTTCCGCGGGGCACTGTCTTGAGTATCAGTGGTATAAATTCACCAATAAAAAACGAACGCTTCTTTACATAGTATGAAAAAATAGCTTTCGGATTCAAATTACAGTTCGCCAGTTTTCTTTACTTCTTGGCTTCGACTTCCCAACAGACCACTCATTGCTGCAGCCGTGATTGAGCCTAAAAGGCATGAGTTTTGATTTAAGCCACTTCCTGCCTGCCTAGCTAACTTCGAGACGTAAAAGCCTCTAGGAGCTGCGGCTTCCGTGCTGATTTTTACACGAATTGGCACTTGAACAGCAGCAGCAAGATGCTGGCAACAGCAGTCGGCTATCTCGCCAGTAGTCAGCAATCCGCGCCATACACAAAACAGCGCTTAGGAATAAAATATTTTCTTTGCAAGCCGGACAGGAAGTTAACGCCACCACTGATGCATTGCTCACTGACTGTGGGGCAACTGGGTGCGCTTATTGCCCATCTGATGGCTGCAAAAAATGATTGGAGTGCAATGCAATGGCAGTTGAAAGTAGACTTTTTATTAAATGCACCAAGCTTGAGCAACAAACGAACGCTTTCTATGCGTTTACTAAAAGTGGCTGCAAATAGCGCTGTTTTTGCAAATGGCATGTGGCATGTGCGCGCATTTTCATATTCTCCACTCTAGCACACTCCATTCAGCTCAACTCGCTTAACTCAAAGCGAAATATGATTCGCATCAAGTGAGTGCGTTTTTTTTTTGTGTATGTGTGTGTGTGTCGATTTTGGTCTTCGCCTGGCTTATCTGCCGCGCAACATTAATGCTTTCCTACTACTTTATGATTGTTGCGCCGCTGCCTTGTTAAGGAGCCATTTGGCTGGTGCTGCAATGATAGATATTGTTTAAAGCACCTTAACTGGTCGCTGATATCTCATAGGCTCGCGCGTTCGAGTGAATTGGCCACAGTAGCACATTGCTGCTCGCATGCCTGGCTACTACTTGGCGGCTTCTGCTGTTGCTGGCGCTGCATTGGCATGTGGCAGGTGTTTTTGATATCTGGCAAAAATTATTGTTGGCAACATTTTTGCAATTGCACTTAACATTATGTGTATATGAAATAGTGAAATGTAGAGAAAATGGAAGTGGTGGAAATTTTTAAAATTGTGGCAGGAAAATGACACCTTTCGCTGCAAAACTGGCAGCATTGAGTGTTAAGGAAAGGGTGAATAAAACATTATTTTTTTTAATATTTCTGAAAGCACGCTATCTATGTTACTTAATCCGGCGAATAATTTAATCAGGTTTTTATATAGAAAACTGAATTTTTTCATTGTTTTTGTTTATGTTTTTTGTTTTCATAAAACCCTTTGTGCAACTTTGAACTTAAGACATCCGTAAAACTAAACAATTTTTGTAAATTTGTTGCGGGAAATTTGAGCTTTTATCGTTTGTGATTATTGAAAGCATTTTATTTTTCAATTATTTTTAAATCCGTATATTAATTAATTTTTACGGCAAATTAAAAGGTAGCAAAACCCTTCACATAAATGGATAAATACAGATGTGAAAAGCCACATACAAATTTACAGCAAACACATATTTATGTGCACACATACGTACACAAGAAATCATCCGCATCCATATGTGCATATCTGCATTCAAATGCAAATAAATGCGTTTGTGGCGACATACCCTGTTGGAACATGGAATCGAATTCTAGACTCATCACTAGTAATCAGCAAACTAGTTAGTTTGTAACTAAATGCAAACCAATGTCTTTTGACCACCGTCTTATAAAAGCGGAGTAGTTTAAGAGCAAATTTCGAGACGATTTCACCTCTTTGACCTCCTAGTTGCTGCGACACTGAGGATACAATGTGCTATTGAATGTCAGTGGGAGAGTGTTCTATCCGTACGCCCAACACAATTAATAGTTGCAGCCTTGTGAGCCTCTTGACTGCCTCCTGTAAACCATTGGCCGGAGAGACCTTGCAGCAGCATATGTCCTGCAGCATTTAGGCCCTGCGGCTAGGGGTAAGAATTTAGCCACAGCAAGGCATGCGTGTCGTAAAACCCGACTAAACCCCTTTTGGTGTTAGTGTCCCAATTGGCATTACTGCGTCTCGGGAAGTAGGAGGATGACGGGAAAAATACCATCTCAAATACCCACCAACCCTTGCGCGGATTTTAAAACTTCACCTGGTACCTATAATTATGGAAATCTATCCGCACTTGCGGTAGGGGCACGGATTCTGGAGGCCCCAAAAGTCACTAAACTCTTCGGTGCCAACGACTAGGAGCGCATCCTTGAGGAGAGCGTTAAAGTAGGATCAATCCACTCTGCTTCTAGAGTTGGAAGCGGACCATTTGCTTACAAAGGCTGTACGTCGGGAAGTCGTTCGCTTTCTTTAGCCCAGAAACGGGACAGAAGAGGAGGAAAAGGAGGCAAAATCTAGAAGCGAAACTCAGACGGTAGAAGTCCTCTTTTGTAGTCAGTGTATCTAGTAAGAGGCCCTGGCTGGCGGAGGTTATACCTTTGGAAACCTTTGGTCCTTTAGCGCATGCAGTGGCATCCAAATTATCTGGAAACGTTGTAACAGAAGGACAACTTTGGCTGTGCTCCTTAGGGCTTGCCCCAATGTCCAATCGGCGAACGCCCCAATGTCTCATCGCAAGAGTAGAGGTGTGGCAATGCCAAATTCGGATCTTGCATTTATTTCTCGAAGACATCGGCGGACGAAGGCAGCGTCTATAAGACCGACCTCTGGCGCCACAGAATCCTTGCTAAAAACCAAGAGTACTGATGGTGCAAGGGTCCTGATCGTGGCAAAACCGTCTCTGCCACGCGCTTTAGAAAATCAGGCCTCCTGCTCTACCTAAAATCTCGTCGGCAGCGGGACCTGTGCAAAAGTTTCCCTCTGCGTTACGAGATCTAAGAACGTGGCCCTCTTTAAGTGAGCCTGTCACTGCCGTAGTAAGGAAGGCGGGTGCGATTCGACAGATGAGCCATGTAGAAATAAAGCACTACCATGGCCACCTAATCCGAAGCGTCATTGCCTCCGGAACTGCGACGAATGCCCGTGGATATGAGGAGAGGATTTAGATTCCGCGATGTCAAAACCAAACGGTACACCCAATCCCTTTTGTGTTGGGGATTTAGAGGGGTTTGTGGTTCTGTGTAATTAGCCTACTAGTTTTAAACTCACCTTACAACGGTGCTCATAAGTGCATCTATGCCCTGACAGCCCTTTCAACCTAAGCTTGTGCATCTGCCCCAACATTTATAATGTTCTACAAATGGTGCCTGGGAACTCTATATATGTAGTTATTTACTATTTCCCATGATTCGAAACGATAGCCACCTTTTTCCACAGTACCAAGCTAAATCTAAATCTAACAGTTGAAGGCCAGTGTACACCGGATTCCGCTTTGAGAGCATGGAACTAGTGGTATGCTGGTCAAATGGGATCTACATAGTCTAAAAATAAATATAAATGACACTGTAGGTAAAATCTCAAGTTTTGAAATGCCACAACAACAAAAAATATGTTGAAACACGAGTATTATATTTTTTTTTTCTATTTTCGGGCATTTCCCAAGATATTTTTTTTTATTAAAAAAATATTTGCGCTTTAACATGGAAAAGTTTTTGTTTTTCATTTATTGAAATCAAGCGAATAACAAAGAAAAACGGTAGATAAATAAAAAAATTGTGTTGGAACTTTCTTGTAAGAAATATTAGCAGGAAAAATGTTACTCATACGCCAGGGTGCGCCGTGTACGAGTTTTATATTTTGTAAAGATTTTTCCCCTAAATAAAATATACATACATAAAATATTTCTGATTATTTCTGTTGCTTGAAAAAGTACTTTGCTTTTCCTGTAAATTTTCTTGAAGAATCACATATGTAAATATACCAGCATTTTTTTCTGGAAAGCTGCATGCTGATTTAAGAATTTTGTGTAGAAGAGATTTTTTTTTTCATTTCTTGTGCATCATTTATATGAATTTTTCGTTTTTCTTGAGAGCTGCAGACAGTCCTTCAAAACTTAATATTTTTTATTCACAATGCAAACTGAAAATTAAAATGTCTTTGCAAATTGAACTGATCTAGAAAAACAATACACAGATCCGTCCGTTAATGAGGCTGGGGTTGGCGTGTCCTTTGTATAAGACTTTGCTTGGCCTGGCGAGTAGGGAGGAAGGAAGTAAACGATTAACAATCTGACGAAGTTGTCCATTTCTGAAGGAAAAATTTTGTTCCACTGACAAGTGCAAAATTACTCATATCTATGGTCCTCTGCAATATCGGCATAATTCGAAATCCAAAATAACAAAACTCTTACTACTATTAAGTCTCTTGTCTCTAACCTCTATCTTATCGATCTCGAACCTTAACTACTAGCTCTACCAATCCTTATTACTTTCTTTAGTAAAGAGTAGACCTAGATTTGACATGGATTAGCGACATGAGCCCCGTAACAGTAGTAAAGGAATTTATTTTTCAAATTTTGAATTGTATCGTTATTGCAGAGGCCCACGGATTGTGTGCATAGTTAATATGTATGTACACGTATGTATATGTTTTTGGGTATTT